GACCGCTGCTGTAATGCAATTAGCAGAAAGAATTGCAATGCAGCAGGTAGTTCCTGTGAAATAATGTATTAAAACTGTGATTCTCAAAATTTAGGTTATGGTGATGGGAGCCACGAACAGGCCGCAGGACGTGGATCCAGCCATTCTCCGCAGGATGCCCACAACTTTTCATATCGGCTTGCCAGTAAGATGTGTGCAAATACACAAGGAGGCTTTATTCTGTCTACAGTTATGTCCATATATTTCTGGTCACTGACAGTTTTTACCCCTCAACCATAAAAGGCTGATAGGGGATTATTGTCACCCCAACAGGTAAGCAGGCAGGGTGGACACCCAAGTTTGTGAGTGCAATAATTTCTGAATAAGGCGATGTAGGATTTTGAAATTCAAACTTTAGGTCCATCTACTACAAATCTCAGACAAGTTTGAATTTCAGTGACCTCAAGATCAAGGCCAGAGGCCAAGCTTTCTGATAATCTTGTGAACACCATGGAAGAATCTACTAGGAGCCTGAGGGGTAGTGTACCTAAAAAACCAGCGCATGTAATATCCAGTAGGGATTCACTGGCTTCTGATAACCCAAAAAAAAATCCCTGAAAATGAGTTCACCCCTCATCTTAGAGACCTCAAACTCAACACTGCAGCTGTACCTCTGCCAGGTTTGAAATGGATCAGATGAACACTTGTCAAAGTTGGAGAACAGCGGAGGAAGCACATGCAAACATTCCTGAATTTATACAGGAGATGTATGATAATAGGCTAGACAGCGATTTATTTTGCTAATACGAACGACTGTCCTCTCCTTTTCAGAACACAAGGCAGAGAGAAGACATCCTGAGACTCATCTTGGCAGGAGAAAACGTAAGATGGTTTCTTTTTATCTTTATCAACAGCAGAAGAAATTGTTCAGCTCTGCTGTTATCTTGTTCCATTATCATAGACTCATTTCACACCTGTATTTCCACTGTCACTTCACGTTAAAATGAATCAGATCACCCATGATTAGTCGGCATTTGATTGGCAGCAACAAGCACAGTTCAAAGATTAGTGACAGCTCAATTCTGTATAATCATCTCACATTGCTTGACGTCTTTTCTGCTCAGCTGAGCAACGCAATCAATCTGAAGGAGATTGCTGAGAAGACAGAAGGCTACTCTGGGAGTGACCTCCGGGAGCTCTGCCGCGACGCTGCCATGTACCGAGTACGCGACTATGTCCGCAAGGAGCAGATGAGGCAGATCGCTCAGCAGCTGCAGGGCTGCCAGGAGGAAGAAAGGTATGACTCATATTCAGACACCCACAAGATTTCATAGCACTTGTGTTCACTGAGCTTCAGTGACAGTTTGTGACTAGACCAGGCTGTTTGTTTGATTTTTAAAGCACATATTACATTAAGTGCTGTTTGTACTGGTACACAGCCTCACATTCAACTGTACCATTACATCCAGTTTTCTTCACAAATATTCACACTTCAAGACCGCTCAATAGTAGTGATTATAATACGACATAAAAGGAAGGATGATGTTAATTAGAATGGCTACATCCCGACTCCTTACATACACAACTGTCAGCATCGCACAGTACTGTACAGTACTAAACTAGGCGCTGTTAGAAATGGATGACTGGTTTTTATTATCTGAGCATATATAAAAGACTTATAGAAAAGATTTGTGAAAATATCTGATCTGGGTAAGCCTTTGTTCAGCTGTTGCTAAGCGACTACTGAAACCACTGTTGGTGCAAGCCATTGTTGCTGAAAGAGTATTTTTAACTTTTAAGTGTTGAGAACTCTGAGCAAAAGCATTCATGGCTCTTTCCAATTATAAAACCAAGGAGAAGCATCTGAAGGTGATGGTGAAGTGACGGCTCTGAGCTGCATCACTGTAGTTCTCAGTAATCATTGCGATAGTGAAATCACATATTTAGGGGCCTTCCAGTTTCAGTGTGCACATTAACTCTTAGTACGTGGAGTATGCAGTGTGTTTGCAACAGAAGTTTACATCTTATCTCATTCAGTCAGTTTGCATCCTGTAAGATAAATCTTTTACAATCAGTGACAGATTTTGTGAAACATCAGGCCTTGGGGTGCAGAATCCAGCACTCTGGAAGGCTTTGGGAAATGTGAAGGAGGGCATACATTTTGGACTTTAAATTGAATTTTAATTGAATTTAGATGGGAGTGGGGGGCTTACACTGGATCCGCAGTATAAATATATAAATAAATAACAATAAAAGGAGATTTTCTGTAAATTAACAAAAACTTTCTGCTTCATAATTAAAGGAATGAGCTATCAGGAATTTTAGTGTGATTTTACACATGTATTTCATACAGTTTAAGCCCAAAGAGTTGTGCTCTTTCATTAACCTTCAGCAGCAGCATTTCTGTATTATGTAGAAAACAGAGCTGTACTGTTAAACTGGGGTTTAGGTTTTTCCTTTTTTCCCTTTATAAAGATATCTCTGGGAATAAAGGTGCAGGTAAACTTCTTTACACTGACAGAAAGGGGCCCAGTTCAGCTCAAACTGAGCTGTATGTATTGTAAAACAACAAAAACAAAACACTTTATAGTTATTTTTTATTCTATAGCAAAGAGAGCATATGTAAGTGTCTACATTTTGTTTGTGAAACCTTTGGAATTTTCCATGACCTAAAACATGAGATTTGAACAAAAGTCACAAAATTAGAAAAACACATTTCAAATTATTTTTGTATTTATTAAAGAAAATGATCCACTGTTGCAGATCTGTGAGGGGTCAAAGTATGCGTGCTTTCAGTTAGGGGTGGGCGATATAAACGATATACGATAGAAATGATATAAATTTGGCCAACGATAGAGATTTTGACTATATCGCTCTATCGCGATAGCGCATGTTGATGATGTCATCAAGCTGCGCCTGTTTTGGTCGAAAGCATCGCAGCGGCTAAAACCATTATCATTTGCAAATTATGGCGGGGGACAGTCACAGCAAAGAGATGAAGCACTTTTGAAATATGGGGAAAGCCAAAAACTGTGCTTCCTCCACTTCCGTAACATTGATTCATTAATGTTGAATTCTCTCGCAGCTGCTCTGTTCCCATGTTGTTGCAGTATATTAATAACTAACCTCGTATTGTGGATGAATGATCTCAGTTGTTCTCCTGACTGAAGTTTGGCCCGTGTATAGCATCCTGCTATGCGATTGCATTTGTCCCTAACCACCAGAATCCCTCACGTTAACTTTTAATGAGTGGAAAAAAGTTGGCGTTCATCCTCCAGCTTCACTGTGCTAATGTTATGCTAGCATAGCTGTGTCGCTAGCAATCACATAGCACAACATTATATACCAGGTAGTCCAACTTTAGTAACCCTGCAAACGCCACTGCTGTTTAGTTTTCTGTCTTCATTTATGTTGGTAGCAGAGGTGGAAACTAGCGAGCTAACTTCCTGTTAACTTCTAACTGTTAAATTTAATAAATTCTGTTTTCATGGATTCATGGATGTTAAACTTAATTGTTACACCCAATCAAGCAGCAACGCTGATGATTTAATTAAAGATGAAAGAATTTAGACCGTTTTTAACTCTTAGTGTTCGTGAGTTTTGGACCCAGATTACTCCGCGAAGCTTTTTCACCACGGCAGCCGTAATGCTCTGACAATCCATCAAGCAGTGCAGATTACTAAAGTTGTACTAAAACATTTTTTAACAGATTTCTGCAGCCAAAATCGGTTTGAGGTCAGTAAGCACAACCAGAATTCATACATAAGGCACACTCTCGATTTTTGAGAAAATTAAAGGATTTTTAGTGTGGAAAATACGTTATACAGAAGAAAAGAATATATCGTGATATATATCGTTACCGCACATGCTTCAAATTATATCGCAATATGAATTTTAGGCCATATCGCCCAGCCCTACTTTCAGTATTTGGTGTGACGCCCTTCTTCAAAATAGCTGCAGCAAACCATTTCTGGTAACTGTCGGTCAGCCCTGCACTTCCACTTGGAGGAAATTGAACCGATTCAAACGCCCAAAATAGTTTCATCTCGGGGTTGAGGTTTTCTCACAGCTGCTCAGACGCCGTCCACGTCTTTTAAGTTGAATGCAGTTGGATTCAGGCCTTCTTTCACCAGTCTGTGGTTGAAGTACATTCGTGCTAAGAGTTGGTGACGTACTGCGCGGCCCACTTTTTCTTCAGACCTCGGACAGATGTCCTGACATTTTCCATTACAATCTGACATTGAAATTCAAAATGTGTTGCTCCATCATGGCCCAGATGCTGCAAAACAGACACAAACCATGACAGGATGATTATGCTTCACAGATGGAATTAGGTTATTATGTTGGAATGCAGTGTTTTCCTCTCTTCTGACAGAAGAGATGGGTTTTTTATTTGAGCCCCAAAAGATGCTATTTTGGGCTCATCTGTCAACAAAACATTGTTCCAAAAGCCTTCTGGCATGTCTGTGTGATCTTTAGCAAACTGCTGACGGGCAGCAGTGTTCTCTTTGCAGCCCTGCCATGCACACCATTGTTGCTGGGTTTTCCCCTGATGGTGCCAATGTGAGAGATCATTTTTCTACTTTTAGGATTTAGTGTGGAAATCTGATGCTTTAGGTCATATTCATGTGGAAATCCATAACATTTCTCCTGTGACTCTAGTACATGCCGTACGCTGTGTGCAGTATAGAAGTATAAACCTGCTATTAGGCCTCTGTGCCTGACCTCTGATCTCTTGTGTCCTTGGCTCCAGACCTGTGGATGAGGAGCGGTTGCGACCAGTCACTCAGCTGGACCTCCTCTTCGGCCTGGACAAGATGAAGGAATCAAAGAAAGCCACAACCTTCATGCTACCCATCGTATCAGAGGTTGCTCTGGATTAAACACCATCTGTGGACCACTGAGGAAAAGCGAATTCTTCCAAGCTCTGTCCGCAGTGCGTTCCAACTCGCCAAGCTGAGACTCTGAGTGTTAGAGGTGTAGTTGAAAAAGGCGGCAGACAGACATGCTTTTCTTAAACCTAGTTTCCCAGACAGGGAGTTATTCTGAGCATGCTTATCTTAAAGGACACACGTCATGTGTACAGTTACAACATATTT